GTCACAGTATTTTTCACTTTCTCCAAAAGCCACTTCCTCCAAAAGTCACACCCAGCACAGCCAGGATCAAGGGCACTGAGCAATGTAGCCACCACTGGAAACACCAAGAGAAGTAGGAATTTAGCTCCTCCATAAACCAGACAGTATCACTGATGGTCTGTTCTGGGGGTCCGGTCTGGTTTCCATCACATCTCATTTCCAAATTAAACATCCTGGTATCTGCTGAAAAATCTTTACAGTAGAGTCACTGCAGCCAGGCCTCGGGCAGAGGCTGGGAGGCAAGCAAGACAAGGCTGGCAAGAAGTGACCAAGGGCTCATAGCGAGGGTAAGATGCAGGCTCCACCCCAAGGTATTCCCACCATACTCATGTAGGCAAAGCAACCAAGAGGAAATGAACATCTACATTTTAGCACTGGACCATGGAGACATAAAGGCTGAGGTCCTTCAAGACACATACTCCTGAACTTCTTTGGGGTGGCTTCTTTGAGGTTGTTTTAGACGCCTAAAGTTGGAGATGGGACACAAGAGGCTGCAGGCAGAGCCGCCTCCCTCCTTGCCTCACTGGGCTGGTGTCACACAGGACAGAGCAGCTCAGCAGCAGCTCCAGCCCACAGAGAAGCTGAACTGAAGCAGAATAGAGAAGGATTTTCTGCCAACAACTTGTGACAACAGTATGAGGCCACAGCCTAAAACTTCAGATACCCAAACACCTTGCTGAGTCTTGCCTGTACAGGACTACCTGCACTCCACAACCCTTGCCACAGCATCACATGGATACAGACAAATAACCCCTCTCTGAAAATCAATGATGGAGAGCAGAAAAGACTTGAGCTCAAGATGACAGGACAAGACTCCATCCTGAAGATTAACTCCATCCAGACAGACTGCTTCCCCTCTCCATCTCTCAGCCTTTCTATTTCCTCAATAAAGAAAAAAGTTTACCACTGAGCTGCTGCTTGTCTGAGGGATTGAAAGTGCTGCAGCATAGTAAGCAAAGTAGTATTTCAAACACATCCAGGTGTGTTGCAAGGACAGACTGGCCAAGCAGACCTTTAGGCAAGCAGGTAGTAGCAATTGGTTATCAGCATTGTCTTGTGATGGTTTGTAGCTGCACAGGAGGGGATCGCATGGGCGCAGGCATGGGCACAGGCATGGGCACAGGCATGGGCATCGGCACCTCCGTTCTCAGGGAGCTGCTGGGATCAGGCACTCCTCTGGGACCTCCCAGTGCAGGACCAGCACAGCAGAGCATGAAGGTGTGCCCAAGCATAGAGGAGTTGCCTGCAAATAGGCCCCAGGCTGAGGGAGCACATCCACCTGAAAACACCTGGTACCACGCCAGCTAGACCCATCTGGAGAGGAGCTGAGGACCACGTTGCTGGACAGCAAAAGCACCCCACAGGATAGGGAGCACCAGCACCCTGGCTGGCTTCGGGGGGAGCAGAGCAAATGTCTCTGTTACAGATGTTCCTACGCACACACAACTGTCACAAACTTGCTAAGGGGATGAAAAGTTGACTATCTTTTCCAGTCTCAGGCATACTCCTGCCACAATTCATCCCACATTACTCCAAAACCCAGAATATGATGATGCCGAATAATAACAGCATCAACTGGCACTGTGGGACCAGAGGGTACAAACACATGTCAAAGTGCTTGGCTCTGCCCACAGAAGATACGCAATAAATGTCCATCCCTCCATTCACCAGAAGCTGGCAGCATTCTTGCGCTGAGAGCAAATTATCATTTCTCAAGAAACGCGCAAATAAGTAATTTTCTTCCATAAAAGAAATTATTTTGCAACCAGCTGCAGGAGAGGTCAGTAATACCCTGCTGAGCAGACGTGGCAAGTAGCTCTCAGGCACAAGCAAATGTCTCCGCTGCAGGACAAGCTGCCCAAGGCTGGCTGGGGCAAAGCAACAGTAAGCAGCAGCAAAGGACTCTCCTGTCTCAAAACCATGGTAAAAAACACCTGAGGGAGTAGTTCAGAAGCATTCCTCAGTTCATTCAATTCACCCACCTTTGGGGAAAAAAAAAAAAAACCCACGAAAGGCAGCAAAGAGTGTTTTCAAGTGTGTCTTTGTATACTACTGTTTGTAAACGTGAATCCAATTAACTTCAAATGTAGCTATTAATGAAATTATCTCATTTTGCTATCAGCTCAGCTTTCATCCATGGCAGTAATTAACCACTGGGGGTTGTCACTCCCAGACACATGACACAAGGACTTCCCCACGCTCAGGTGCTTCAAACCCTTGCAGAATTCATTACACTGACAGTGTGAAAACCCTTCACTCTCAATACCACAGGGCACCAACATGTTTTTTCCACTTTATCTAACAGATTGCCAGTAACAATATGAAAGAAATGAGCCCACTGGACAGGTAATTAATTACTGCAAAGGATACATTAGAAAATGCAGGGGTTCAGGTGGTGGGGAGGGGTCTTACACAGCGCATTTTGCCACTGCCTCAGAAATATCCTCTGCAATAGCAAGGCTAGTCATTTTCCTCTCTGAGACACACTGTGGGCTGCACCAAGGGAAATTGAACCTTCCCCCGACGCTTCATGCTTACAGCAGATGTGAAATCAGC